ACAGAAAATGGTGTTGAATCCTAATTAACATGAGTGCGAGACAACCTACTCGAGCAGAACACTGTACAAAACTGAGCAGTTAACTTACATTATGATGAGAGGATGGGTCATTTAACATTAAATACTCAAGGGCTTTTAGGCTTAAAGCTACACAAAAAATGATGGAACCATCTCTACCATGACTATGTAAATGAATAAGGGATTTTTCAACCTTATTTACCATTCATTCACTCTCCGGTTATACTTCCTGGGATTATTAAAGACCCTTACAAGCTATGCATATAGACAGTGAGTTTAGACAAAGAAAATTACATCTAAATAAAACTATACAAGCCATTTTTATCAGTTACCAATATATTTTACACAAGCATTGTGAAAGTCTAATATGACAATCATTGCCAAGATACTGCAGAACAGGAGTCGGACTTGATGCTGGGCGAGTTTCTATCGGAAGCTCGCCCCCAATAATAATAATGTGATATAAACTACAGTACTTTTTTAAATGATGGTTGAAAACTCGTAATGTTTTCATTCAAACACTAATTTTAAATGAAGCCAATGTGAATTGCCAATATAGTGTTCTTAAAAGCTGGAATGTAATAAGAGGCAGCAAAAATGTACAAAATTCAATTGGTATCAATTCTTATATCTCAGACAGCACAGATAATTTTTTTTTCTTTTATCTACATCTGTCTTTACAAGATAAATATTGTATGATTAACAGCCATTTATAAATTGCTGGCATTTTCAGTTTATAAAAATTAAGTAACTTTGTGTCCACATTTCACAGTTTGGACATCAAATAACAATGTGAGCAACAACTTTAAACCAGCCTAATCAACTTGACTGGTATAAACTATTGCTACAACTTTTCACCTAGTATATAAATCCTTTGCGTGGCTGTGTTTTCCATTACCAAACATAAACAACAAACCATTCAGCCACATTAAAAATTGTAGCAAATAACTTAAACTTAAGCAATAAAACTTGGAAAATAGCTAATTGATCATAACCAACTTCATGAATCTGAGTTTTGATTAAATAACCTTTACTTGCAATTACAAAAATGTGTACATTCAAGAAATTTGCTATAATTTTTATAGGCTTCTCACTTTCATATTGCCCTAATAGCTTCTAAAGGCATTGCACAAATGGACGTTTGCTGTTGTAAGATATTTTAAATAAGCTTATTTTTCTTCAAGATACATCTTGTTTGCTGTAATAATGTTCAAAGCATTAACATTAGATGAAGGATGAAAATATGGACTTCCATATCTATAATACACAGTTACTGGTCCCAGTTTAAGAGGTGACTAGAATTAATAACATCAACCCCCTATGAGGAGGTTGACCAGTTGTCTAGGTGGATTATTCTACTGGTGCCCACTTTACACAGGTTGCTCCAAGTACAGTATTAACTGGTAAATTCTGGTATTTACTACTTCATATGCATAATAAAATTTGGCCATTGATGTTCTATTACATGATGTGCTTAACAGAATTTTGTGTAAGATTAATCCTAGAAAATTAAAGGGGTCATTAAAAAGTAATCACTTCCGTATCCGCTGATAAAATAGCTGAATAAAACACTGTTCAGAGGAGAAATTTGGCAAAAACATTAGAAATATTTGTGATGCTATTTAGAGTACAGTACTGTATATGGCAACCCCAGAAGTATAGCCGTAAAAAAGTTTTGTCAAATGCATAATTCATATAGACACTTCGCCATAGACCCTTAAGGGAGATTCCTTGACACCCGTGAGGGGCTCATGATCCAAAGAGGTGGACCTAATCTGCAAGGTCTTTGGATTGATCCTGATACCTCCCATTTCTCCAGGTATGGCCCTTATATGCTTAGCATTACCCCTCTTGAGTGTAAAAACCTCATCATAAGAAATACATATACTGCAATGATACAGACAAGGAGCCTTTATCATTATGCCAGATCAGATGGCATCTTCAGCTTCATTCCAGCTGAAGAGGCTATGTGATATGGAGTAATGATACTGGTTCCTTGGCTTTGTTAAACAGTGGTTTTCCTATTTATTTTCCCATTGTACAATTATCCCAAATAAACCATCACTTTCTGCCTTTCAAGAACATGCACATGCACAAGAAAGGCCAATGAGTGTCACTGCATTAAAGATCCTGACCAGTTGCCTTTTACTTATGGAGCTAAGGTGGCATCTCAGAAGTTAAGTATTGACACAGTCCAATTTAGATCACTCTCTCTACATATTAACATAAATCAACCTTAACATTCAAGTAATCTAAACCTTACCTATGCATTTTTTTTTTATTTTTTTGTCCTAGTGATAAGGTATAGTATTAGAATGCCCAAAGTAGTTTGCATAATCATAATCATTTTAGATGCTCCGGTGGTCTGGTGGCTAAAGCTCTCACTTCACAAACGGAAGGCCCGGGTTTGATTCCCGGCGTGTTGGAAGCATTTCGACGTGTTTCCTTACACCTGTTGTCCTGTTCACCTAGCAGCAAGTAGGTACCTGGGTGTTAGTCGACTGGTGTGGGTCACATTCTGGGGGACAAGATTGAGGACCCCAATGGAAACAAGACAGACAGTCCTTGATGACACACTGACTTTCTTGGGTTATCCTAGGTGGCTAACCCTCCAGGGCTAAAAATCTGAAGAAAATCTTATATCTTATCGTATCTTCTAATAAGCTTGTAGTCCATGCCACTTATTTGTATCAATTGTAAGATTTTTTTTTAATAAACTTCACTTTCATTTTCTGTGTTTTTAATTACATGTATATAGTAATTTTGTATTTTGATATGGAGTGTATTCCTAAGCAGAAAGGTAAGCATTATTTACCCTACAAAAATTCTTCCCTTGAAAATTAAAATATCTTTGTCATTTTTGTTTGTTTCATTGAATTTAAACCTGGTGTCATGTAAGTCCAGTTAGTATTTGAAAACAAAGATGAGAATGTTTACAACTTGACTCGATTCCCTTGAATACGCAACATTGCATGTGCAGTACTCTCTCTCCTGCCACTTTGCATTCTAAGTTATTATGACATTACCAGATGCAAGATGAAAACTTTATTTAATAATTTACATTACTGTGTTAATCTAATTTTCTCCAAATCCAATTAAATAGGATTCAGATGAATCTAGTATGCTGTGAAAAACATTCTGATGGTCTGTTTTCCCATCAGTAAAATTTGCCATCAATGAGCAGAGTTCCTTTGCTCGAGATTTGGGCAAGAAAACTGCTGTATACAGTACTCGGTTGTCCCACTCATACCCCATAAAGATCACTGCTGGAACCACCATACCACACAGTCATTGGTTGCAATAACTACTGATGCAAACTAGTTCATTTTGTTTGGAATAAATCTGAAATACATACATTAAAACATAATGAGGGTTGCTTCAGTTTTATCAAAAATCTTTTAAGTGTCATTTGCTTTCCCAAGCATTTATTTTTTTGTGACATCCCATGGGTATTTTGTAAGTTTAGTATCTGTTTAATGTTTTTTTTAAATTTATAAATTTCATACAGTGTAATTACAATTTTTTATTGTGGACCTGATAAAGAAAACTGTACCATATGGATGTGTACCCTTGAATGTCATCCCAAAACTAAATGAATATATATGACAGTCTCCTGACAGTCAACATTCACAAAAATACTTTATTTTACTCTAGAAGATGGGTGGTGGGATCACACTACCCTGCCAGGCAGTCTACAAGACAATGCTCCCTGTGCTTCTGTTGTCATGAGTGGCATCCAGTGAACTTATAGCAGCAATTTTTCTTGAACTCCTTGCCTTAATGACACTGTTGAGGTTCATAACCTAAATTTCATTAACAGAGCTATGCACTGAAATACTAGGCTCTAGCAGGCTCCTCAGCTAGACCATTGCCCCCTTACATTTATAAACTGTTGCACTGGGATGATCCAATAGTGGAGAACATAGTCTAAACAATTCCAGTTGTTCTGGGGAAGGATGAAACTCACTTCCTAGCAGTGAGAGCTCCTTATGTGGAGATGCACTGTTGGCTGTCCAGTTCATATTGATCTTCCTCTTCACCCTGCTTGCTGCCTTTATCCTCACTGAACATAGGTGTATGCATGGCAGTGCATTGTCAAATTAATTCAGGCACTATGGTTTAGTTTACCATAGATTTAAGGTAAACATTGCAAGGCATGAAGAGGAGTAACATTGAGAGAAACCTTGCAACAACCAGGTGCTTAACCAAAAAAAAAGCAGCACAGCTATGCAGATCTGATGGCAGTCAAAAAGCATCCAGGTGGAATTACTTTGTAATCCTGGACAGATGGAAAGCAGTTGGTGGTATAGGCCTACCCATGCACATCTGCACTGACTGACACCTTCCCCAATACAGCGGGAATAAATGAGGGTGCAGCTGCGAGCTTCAGAGAGTCCCAAAAATCTAGAAAGAAGTGAACTTGCTCATAATTATATATTCATTCTCATAGGGTCAGAGACCCTCTGCTCATAGGAAAAAAACATTAGAATTCCTGAAGGAGTTGAGCGAAATACTGTACTCAGGGTAACAAGGATCCTAAAGCAGCTAGTGTCCTATATTTTGAATACGTATTACAATTCAGAGGGGTATGCTTCCCACTTCTGAAAAGCTGGTTCAAGTACAGCACAGTAAAACTGCTGTATAATAGACCCCCCTGTGCTACAGATTTTAGATGAAACTAACAAAATATTTGGATGGATAAAGGCTCAGTGAGTCTGCTGCATCGCACAGCAGTCCATTTCATTGCAGGCTGGTTCAGTACAGGCTACATCCACAACTTTTCTCTTATTGCCACTGCCTCAGCCAGCATCTGTTTGTCATTTTCCAAGCATGCTCTTGCATATTATTTTTCAGTCTCCAATTTTCCCCTGGATTTACAATGTTTGTTACTGTAATAGAAAGTGCTCTGTTATTAACAATGGCCTCTAAAGCATGTGATGGTGATAATGTTAAGAAGCAGTATACTTTAAAATAATAAGGTAGGTGGAGTTGGGCATTTCAGTGGGATGAGTGTGAGGAGTATTATGTTAAGACAGTATCAGACATTCATAAAGCAAAGATAAACTTTTAGCATATGCTATGAAAGCAGTATAGAGACTACCCCAGAAATGTTCTAAAGTTGGTCCTAAAAAGGGGATGAAAATAACTCAAGATACAAGAGCTGAAGAAGTGATGCATAAATGTAAGGGATATTCTCTTCACATACACTGGCCTCTCAAAGAAGACAAAAGAATGTCATAAGGGAGAAGCATCAGCATGCCAAACAAGTGAAGCTGGATACATTCTTTAAACCTGTTCCTCTTTTCAAGTCTCTTAAACCATCTAGAAATAGGCCTTGACTATCTACATCTGGTGAACCATCTAAGTCTCCCACACAATCTGCCTGCATCTTCCACACCATCTACAATGTTGCTGCTTTAGTTTAACAGGGCTTCTAACTTAGAATAAATTATATATTCTGTCACCACTAGGTGATATGTAATGTGCCTGCTATAACCTCATCTATCCACCAAATAAGAAAAAAAAAACATTGTACTGTACTTGTAACTCTTGTTTTGAGCATTGTAATTGACTGTAATGTATTAATTTATTCTTATGTCTGATAGTCATCAATGGAGCTGACTAAATACATTGTATGCTTGGTAATCTATTGATACAGCAGACGATGGCTGCTGCAATGGGCACTTCAATGAAGTGGTTTTTTTTATTTAAACAGACACCCCCCCTTTCCTCATTAATTTGTTACACTGAGGTATCTTTGTATTTCAAATTAAATTTTTGACAAGCACAGCTGTGTTCTTGTGATGTGCCCCTTAAACCTTTTGTAGTGTATGTGTGTAAACTCTGAATTTAGGAGGTGTGGAGTTACCAAATGTATTAGTCAGAGGACTGAGGAGGGGTTGTTGAGGTGGTCTGGGCATTTGGAGAGGATGAAGGAAAAAAAAGGATGACCAGGAGGGAGTATAGATCTGGAGTGGAGGGTGGAGTGGGGGCCATCCTAGGTAAGGTTGCAGGCTTGTGTGAGTGTGTCAGGAGTGGAGGCAAGTGGGTTTTTTCGATGACATACTATTGGGTGTGAGGAATGTAACATTTATGAAGGGAGTCGGGGAAACCGGTTAGTCAACCTGAGTCCTGGATGTGGGAAGGAGGGGTAAGGGATGTTGCAGTTTGGAAGATCATCTGAACTGTGCCCTTCTGGCAAGACAGTGAAAGTGTTTTATTTATTGGTTTATCTTGCCTTGGTGGGAGATGGCCAGTGTTTAAAATAAAGTATGCATCTATATGACTAAATACTCAAGTGATTTTAAAATTCTGGTTTAAGTAGCTTTATATACCAAAAATGAGACTAAACAATTTAAATTTCCATACAGATGTTCATATTAGATTACATATAATTGTATAACATTAAAAATTGCAAATGTTTTGTCAACCCAGGTGTGTCAAACACAGACTCACAGACCAAAAAGAAGGAAACCAGATAAGGGAATTATATCAAGAGAAAAGTGGTATTCCTAGACCTGTAGTCACAGAACCATTGGTAGTATAATTAAAGAATAATAATGTTAAGATACATGAAGACTAGTTATATCATGTAATATTTCCTGACCATCCACAGTTTTGAAAAATTCCTATGTGCTCATGTAAGTGGCATACTTGTGTAGTTTTCTCATCGATATATGAAAACACCCATGAGGTCATATGAACAAAATATTTTGTTTAAATCAGGGGACAGCACTAATATCGGGAATGGAAGGCAATCAGGTATGATCCAAGAAAATAAAAGATAGTCCAGTTAGTTGGATCAAGAAGTAACTGGCATCAAGGAACCTCCTTGGGGGAGGGGGTATGGGAAAAGAACTTATTAATCCTCTAATAGATTTCTTACAAAATATACAACTGACACCTGTACTGGACCACATTTGTACTGTACCACCATGTACTGTAACATATTTTTCACCATGTCTAGCTTAAGTTATTTTGGACTATTTTATGCATGTTAAACATCATGGCATATAAGCAAAGCTTTAAATATAGTGCTGTAATGGCCAGATAACTAATTTAGTCTAAGTTAAGTGTATAGCCAGTACCTCATGTGGAAGTATGACAATTGATTCTTCTCTGATCTTAATAAAATGCTTCTTTTCTTCCAATATCCTCAAGAAATGTTGCTGCTGGCTTGTTTATGGCCCTTGGAACCCCATTGTTTGCAGGGCAAGACAATGAGTATTTCCTAGTGTTACTTTTGGGGACCTATAGGTTCAGCACCTGCCAATGATTATACTATACACCTGCCAATGATTATACTATACACCTGCCACTGATTATACTACTGCTGCTGTTGTTGATGTTTTCATAAACCTGTGACAGTATTTACACTTATAAAGGCAAACTTTACATTCAGGTGTATATATAACAAAACTAAAACATTCTTATTTCCTTGTAGGTGTTCTACAATCTGTTACCTCTTACAGAAATGCCTTGATGCTGATGTTTGATCCAAGGAACTGAAACTCTTTCCTTGAATCAAACCTGATTACATATTCCCTAGGCACCATATTACCTATGGGTTTGCATTTCCATAGCAGTGTAATAATAATATAGTCTTTTATGATATTAAAATGTACATTATAATTTTAAATACAGCAATGATTCACTGAAGATTGTTCACTATTTCACAAATTTTCTTGATCATCTCAAATTCCCAGTTAATTCAACATGTAGGGATCACTACCAGCTATATCTAGCAGTAAACAAGTGTTTCATATTTGAGGATTTCTGTATTTTATCAGTTTTAATAAAGATAGATCAAATGGTTAATGTGATAAATCCTTGCAAGGGGAGTCTTGAAGTTGACAGGTTCTTGATCTATGGCATTAAAGGTACCCTTCCTCTGATGAAACCTGATATAGACTTTTTCTCCAGATAGTGTGTAACCTGTATGAGTTTAGCATTTCGTGACTACAATAAATGGACAAATTTACACATTTATCTTTTAACATTGACTTTGATAACACTTGTATAGCAGTGTATCAAAAAGAAACTCAACATTTGACCAGAAAGAAGAAAAAAGTTTTGGTTTGAGGTCTCGTATCAGCATATAATTATTACATTTAGTAGAAAGACAAAACCCATAGAGGAATCTACACAGCACCTGGGAAATAGGAAGCTATCAGCATCAATCCAAAGAAAGGGAGGCCAAGTCAAATTCTTTAAATCAACAGTCCCTTGCCAGCATCAAGAAACTACCCTTGAGATTGCACCATGATGAAACAGAAATCACAGTCTCTTGGTTAATTGTATGTTATGCAGTAATTCTATTACAGAGGTTCAATATGCACTTATTCATATGACTTACAGGGTATTTCTATCCTGTCATTGAGAAAACTAGTTTGCTACTTACCAGGGTGCTTATGTAGGAATTTTCCATTCTAACTGGGTGGAAGAAATGTTACCTGTTTTAACTACATTCATTTTGCCTAAATATTGCTCTAGTTGCTATGTTCAGCTGATGGTTTTATGAACAGACATTTGACACCACACAATGATGAATACTGGTTTACTCTGCAACCTTACTCCCTTACCTGGTTGTATCTGCAACCCTTCTCTTATTATTATATTCAAAAGGGAGCACTAAACCTATCAGGGTCATACAGCACTGCAGGGTAGGAACTGATGCAGGATCTAAGAATAAATAAGGGTGGAGATGACAATAAAGGTAAAGTTAGGAGGAGCTGTGAGGAGTGCTAAAGGAAGGATTATCAAAGTTTGTGTAATATATCAATTGCTGTCAAAAAGTCAAAGAAGGAATCTGTGTCGAAGGTGGGTCCATCAGCTAGGAGGACAAAAAAGTAAGGGCATTAATGCGGTGAAGATGGAGGAAAATTCTGAGTGCTCGTTGATAGACAGGACAGTCCAATAGAATATGGGAAACTGAAACAGGAACTAAACAATTCTCACAAAGTGGAACAGGATGCCTCTCCACGAGATACCCATGGGTTAAAAGAGCGTGTCCAGTGCGTAGACAAGAGAGAGTTGTCTCCCAACCTCAGTATCGATGACAAGAAGGCCAGAAACCCAAACTTGGTTTGATAGAATGTAATTTGTTGTGAGTCATATCAGCCCAACAGTTGCGAAGGTAGGTAGTGATTACAGAGAATGGAATACCTCTGTATGAAACTGGTAGATCATGTATAGCATGTGAATCAAATTATTTTAATAGCTTGCAAAGAACCAAAGGAGTCCGAGACGATTATGAACTTTGAAGTAGGCATGGATACAATACGGATAATGGCAATGAGAATAGCATACAATTCAGCTGTAACAATGCTAGCCGAGTCTAATAAATGACCTCGCACCACGCTGTCAGGAAACACTGCTGCAAACTCAACACCATCAGAGGATTTAGAACCATCAGTGTACACTGCAACAGCATGAGAACGAGATCAGAATTGATTAAGAAAAAGAGAGCGAGAAGCAACTGTAGGGATTTGAGCTTTCACGCACAGTAGTGGGGAAGAACAGACACTAACTGTTGGAACTTCCCAAGAGTTAAGTTAAAAGTTGGATGCTAGATGAACATATAAAGGGGGCAACTGAAGAGAAGACGAGTGATTGAAGATGAAGAGAAAAGGGACGGAGTAAACAGGGGCAGTGGACAAATGATGGACTTCTGTTAACATTCGTTACTATCCTGCATGTAGAAGTATCTTGAAGGTCATGAAAACAGACAAAATGGTGGAGGCAATGAGCATCACAACAATTGCTCAAGGATGGGACATTTGCTTCTGCATAGAGGCTCTTGACAGGTGAGGAGCAAAAAGCACCTAGACATAAATGTAGTCCCTGATGATGGATGGGATCGAGTTTAGAAAGAGTTGCAGGAGAGGCCACAGAATATATCTGGTCACCATAATCTAGCTTTGATAAAATTAGGGCTGAAGGCAGTCGAAGGAGGGTTTGACGATCTGCCCCCCATGAAAGATGAGCGAGGGTTTTAAGCAGGTTCAGCCGGCTATAGCAAGCTGCTTTCAGGAAGGTAATGTGAGGTTTCCAAGACAACCAGCGATCAAACAGTAAACCAAGAAATCTGACCGTATCACATTCAGGGATTCATGAGCCATACAAGTACAATGAAGTATCAGGGACGATTGAACATCTGGTGAAAGTAATTATTTGTGTTTTAGCACTAGAAAATTTAAACCCATGAGTAGTGGCCCAATGGGAAACACTGTTGACAGCATTCTGGAGTGAGGCTGCTACCAGGCAACAGTCAGCACCTGCACAAGCTATAGCAAAATCATCAACATAGTGATGACCAAATATTAGAAGGGAGAACAGATGTCAGATCATTTATAGCAAGGAGAAAAAGAGTGATGCTAAGGACACATCCTTGAGGAACACCTTCAGCTTGGAGCCTTACTCCCTTACCTGGTTCAATCTGCAACCTTACTCTCTTACCTGGTTTCCTTCTTCCTTCTCACTCAAACTTCGAGGCATGTTTGGATTGAATGAAACTAATAGTTTGTGTTTCTTTCGTTTGGTGTTCCTTATGGAAAGCAGGCAAAACTTAAATCTTCTTTCCCCTTGATTCTCTCTGTTTTGGTGGTACTTATTTACCTGGAGAGGGTTCCGGGGGTCAATGCCCGTGGCTCGGTCTGAGACTTGTGGTATAAATATAAAGAGAAATAAATTGAAGCAAACTAGTTTTATTAAAGTTTTGTCTATAAGATGTTTTTGAAGTCTACCCTTTCAGTTCCTCCATGTATTTTGTATGTTAGCATGGCTTCCCTGTTTCTTCTGTCATAGCCTGAAACTAGTCTCACTGCATATCTTTGCATTTTCTGCAGTTTCTTAACATCTTTTTTTCAGGTGTTGGTTCCATACTGGTGCTGTATACTCAACAATAGGCTTGACATTTGTTGTACAGAGGATCCAGAATGTGTGTTGATATTCCTGAAGGCTACTTTTAAATTTGCCTGATGAGTTAGCTGTAGAGGTTATTCAGTTGATGTGAACCTCTGGTGATATGCTAGGCACTATACTCACCATAAAGTCTTTCTCTGAGTGAGGTCTGTAGCCTCTGTTCCTAGAGTCCATACTGTGTGCATGTGCGTGTGTGTGCGCGTGTGGGAATCTGTCAGTGTTTAAGAAAATAAATATGGTTATCCAGAGCTTTAAATAACTTTTGTTCAGTATCTATGGCCAGTTTCTCTAAATAAATTTTGAACAAATTGAAAATAGTAACAGAAATAATGCATTGTACATTTTTTTTTTTTTTTTTTGCTAAATATCAAGGCTTACTATGGAATGCAATGTTTTGCATTCTATTACAACTCTCTGTATTCTTATACAAATAAAAACAATGCCTAACACTTATTAGAATCTTGTTAGCTCTAATGGTCTTGATTTTTATCTGAAGCAAACATACAGTAATAACTGAATGATCTAAATAATATTAATTACAAACCTTATTTTCTTTATGCTATACTACTGTATTGGTATTTTTCATTATAAAAGAAAATATTGCCTTGTATGAGTGTTGTCAATGAAAATTTTGTATCTTGTCATCAGATATTCAAAAGAATATTTTTGACATATGGCTTCATACAAAAAAATCAGTACAGCATCCTCTGAATTCAACTCTAAGACGATATCGTATATAACAAATTTACAGCACGAATGACAGTTATGTGAACTATTACTTTTTCATCCAGTTACTCTTGTATTTTTACACAAAAATCACAATTTATGTTTAAGCAAAATTTTCTAAAATAAGTCTTAATGTCTATCATTTTGAGATATATTCAGAAATTTTATTCACTTGATTATCTCTTCTTTACAACATTTCAGGAACAAGTGATGACATTTCAGTGGGAAATTAAATGACACCAGGATAGAACAAAATGTTAAATTCGATGATTTTTTTTTCACTTTTTTACCAGTTTATAAACTGCCACTAAATCTGCTTACAAGCAGTCTTTGCATTGTTTCAATAGAGCCTATTTTCCTATTTAAAACATAGAGTATAGGCCTTATCAAAATACTAGCAATGTATAAAACCTTGTCCATCTTGTATCATTTTGCTGGAAAACTTAAATTTTATATATAAAAATGGAACCTACATACTCAGCTTAGCTCACCACGACCTGTGCTTGAGTAATATTTACCTTGCTTAAAATAATCACACAATCTTATTCCCAAACAATACCCTAATTGGGATTATGAGGCTAATACAACCAACAAATAGCCACAAATTCCAAGATCCTGGAAGATTCTCACAACAAACACATCAGTACAGACCACACCCACGTAGATTGTTAGCAATAATTACATCTGTCACTGCATCAAACACAAACTGTATGTTGGTGGTATCAGTGGCACAAGTCATGTGACAATATATTTCTTTGTTCGTTGATTTGTTCTTTGCTTCAAATTGGGCTTGGATGTATGCTGATGCTTCGGTATATTCCATGGACCCTGTAACACAAACATTGATTAGGGTACTCGATATCTGCTCTACATTTACTGTTGTATTAAAACTAGCATTTCCTCCCTTACATGGTGAAATATTGAGAAAAAATGTGTAAATGAAAATGTAAAGACTAAAAATCCTATAACTAATAAGAAATATCTCTTGACAAGCATCAAAAGAATCAGAATGATGATATTCAGCCCTAACCAGCATATGGTACAGTAGTTAGAACAGTCAAGCACTATTTGACAAAACTACATAAACAGAACCTAAATTTAATCTATAAATTCTCAGAAAGGTACTTACATTCTCCAAATGTAATTACCTTTCTCAGAAAGGTAATTACATTTGGATATTGTAACCATCAGCTAAGGTTACAATATGCACATAAATAACAGAACTGATGATATACTATGTAGAAACTTATAAAATATCATAATTTTAAATCAAACTCAGGGATGCTGGTGGTGCATCATGTGGTGTTAGCAAGGCAGCTGGTGGCATCACATGTGTTGGGAGGGCAACCGGTGGTGTCTGGGATACTAGTGTTAACAGGGCAACTGGTGGTGCCACATGTTTACATTCATAGGAGGAGAATAACCCTTACTGTCATAATATTCACCAGTGTAAATATTACTAAATTATTTCTTCTGACTAAATATTTCTTACCAGTATATTCTGGGAAGCAAATAGTTAATGGTGACCTCTTAATCTTGTCTTCAAATAAATCTTTCTTATTGAGGAAGAGGATGATGGAGGTGTCTCCAAACCATTTGTTGTTGCAGATTGAGTCAAAGAGCTTTAAGGATTCCTGCATTCGATTCTGTAATGACATTAATAAATATTATTTCTTTGCATAGAGGTAAATAGTCTTTAAGAGGTAGCAAATACAATGTATACAATGGGAGAATGTGGAGGAATAATTATGTTACAGATAAACTTTAAGAATAATGTACCTTTAATCAGTTTCTATACTGTCTCATGTTTAGCACTTCTTTTTTTATTATAATAATAATCTATACTGTCTCAAGCTTTCTGAAGCTACTTAATACAGGATATTGTTGGCTTACTGTTATCCAGTTAAACAGTAATAAATGGTCTAATGACTCATTCTACTATACATTGTCTAACATCTCATTCTAATGTGCATTTCCTTCAACTTTACTCCTCTACAATTTAGGAATTAGGACATACTCTACATTATGTAAAGCACAAGCATTTGCTGAACAACCTGTAAGTACAGGACAAGGTGGAATGGGAAGCTGTGTGACTAGTGTTGTGAACATAGGGAATAAGAGGCAGGAATTAGACCTTTTGGTCTCCTTCCTCAGACCGAACCTAATTACCCCCAATCCTCCTTCCCTATCCCATCTTCCCTCTTTTTACCTTTCGTCCTCCTCCTCCTCCCCATCCCTACCTTATTCCCTTTCTGTGGGATTCTTCCCACAAGCACTCTAGTTCCTAGGTAGGGGAAAGGGTACCGGGGTCCATCCTCCAAGGATGGAGGATGGACCACCGGTAGGATGGAGGATACACCACCACCAAGGACCTCTGTTGAGGTCCTTGGTGGTGGTGTAGTTTGCCATGGAATCTGGATCACCTGGAGATGTCCCAATCCCTCTCCGGTCTCCTGAGGGTGTCTTTGGGTGTCTTTCGGGTGACGGGTGTATGTATCTCTGGAGGCTGCCTATCGGATTCCAGGGGGTGGTGGCCGAAGGAGGTACGCTTTGTGACAGGTGTCTGGCCGCCCTCTCTTTTGTCCACCGAGGTGGCTCGGTAGATGTGAGGTTGCTATCTCAGATTGCTGGTTTACTGGCATGAAGGGTAGGGTATGGCACAGGTTCCATGCTGCATCTTTACTGCTTGCAGTACTGAGGTCCTCTTGGGTGCAGAGGGGGATTTATGGCCCTTTCCTTTGCCTTCTAGAAGCTATTCCTCCACGTTCCCCCTCCCCCCTTTTTTCTTTTTTTTTCTTTTTTACTTTTTTCTTTTTTTTTCTAAAAAACAAGAAAGAAGAGACCTAACCATGGAATCCCAAATCCATGACCCTACTCCCCCTGGGCCCTTCTTGATACTACATCCTTTTCTGACCCTGCCTCGTTATCTGACCCCTCTTCGGACATTTCTAATGCTCCTGTATTTCTTGCTGGTGCCATTTCGTCACCCACTTCACGTACCGGGGTTCCGACTGACTCCTCTGATACATCTGACCCCTGCTCTTCTTTGGCCATACTTCCAACTTCTCCCTCCATGGTGCAGGAATTTTTGAATTGCCCACCAGCCCCATGTCGGACCAACTCCGGTCCCACACCTAAACGCCCAAGACCATTACCTGACGATACTTCTTTGCTTCCTTCTCATTCTACTCAGAAAAGACCAGCACGTCACACACTCCCTTTCCACACTACTTTTCAAAATACATAATGGACTAAGTTTTTTACTCTATGACCAACTTCCTCTACTGCCTACCTTTCCGACCATAGTACGTATTAGCAAGGCGCTCCTATGCCATGTTGGTAGAGAAATATCTTTTCATGCTCTCAAGAGCAGTACATGCATCATCACTGTCCAGAATGCTACCCAAGCTCGCAATCTTTCTCTTCTTACAACTATCGATACTATTCCTGTATCTACTGAAAAAATCATTCCCTCAATTCTTGTAGTGGTACTGTAATTCTGCCCCATACCATTGTCCAACAGAATTTCCAGACATGTGGCAATGACATTCTGGAACAGCTAGAACTCTAAGACCTCCCAATCCCCAAAGTAGACACTAATGTCCTCCCTGCCTGCAGGCAGAGACGATACCCTTGCAATGTAACTCACTTAACTTTTGACTGCCGTGAGCTTCCATCCTCTGTATATATTGCGGGACATTGTTTACAAGTTTGAAAGGTGATCCCTACACTGCAACAGTGTAGAAATTGCTGGCATTTTGGTCATCCAGCAAAATATTGCAGGTCCATGGCTGAATGCCCAGTCTGTGGTGCCGACGACCATTCCAATACATCTAGTAGTCTACCGCCCTCTTGCCTTAATTGTTATGAGGCTCACCCATCTTACTCTCGCCATTGTCAAGTTCACTTAAATGAGCATGAAATTCGTTGTCTCAAAGAGGCAGAAGGCCTCCCATATGCTATGGCAGTCTCTCATCTACGCCTACAAGGGTAACTTCCCCATATTTCTTATTCTTGAGTAACCAAACGTCCCCCCTCCTCTGGGGTCCCAACTTCTGCAGCATCCTCAGTGGTCACCCCTGTCTCTAATTCTCTTGCTGTCCTGGCACCTCGTTCTGTTCTCGTCTCTTCCTCTTCTCACTCACAAGTTTCTGTGTCTCAAGACCTCGTACAACACCTACTCTCCATCGCCCCTCTCCTTCTCCCAAGTCCAAAACATCTCCATTGTTCAAATCTTCTGCAAAATGCACATTTTTCCTTCCTAGTCTCTGTACCCAGTTCTTCACCTTTAACTGGCTCTGTTACGAGTGTGGAGGTTCATCCTCCTCCTACAGTACCTTCTTCCCCTGTCCCCTCCCAGGCTTCTTTAGTTCCCTCTACCCTTTCATCCCCCCCCCTACTTTGGTACAGTCCATTGTTCTCCCAATCTTTACTCTTCCTCCTTCTACCATCTCCAATATTGTACCACATAAAACGTCCTCGTCCTCTGAAACACGTGAAGCTATCTCAGAATCTACTGAGGAGACTAGACCATTGATAGACACCGATCCACCTCCTGTTCCTCTTCTTCACTCTTCTCTGTCAGCACAACTCCTTTCTTCGCAACATCCCAGTCCTTCGCTGCTTAAAAGTTTTCTGCTACCTCCACATGTAGACTTTTCTAACTCTACTAGTCCACAGATACTTCTACCTTCAAATTTCTTGTCTTTCTCTTCACAAATCATGGCTTATTTACAGTGGAATATCTGCAGCCTCAGGGGTAACTGGGGTGAGCTCCAGGTGTTGCTTTCCCCGTTTACCCCTGTTTGTGCTTGTTTACAAGAACCCAAATTATGCTCCACTGTTAGCCCTCCCATCTCGGGCTATGATTTATTATATTCATTGGATCCTTTTCCTGATGGAACCTTTAATGAGAGTGTACATCTTATACTACTAGTGTTCCATACTGTCAGCTCTTTGTTCCACTCTCTTTATCCACCTGAATAAGTGGTATACAGTCTGTTCTTTGTATCTCTCTCCATCTCGAGTCTTATCTATCCCAGATGTTGCATTTCTGGTTTCTTCCTTACTGCCACCACTTCTGTTACTTGGCAATTTTAATGCCCACCATTTCCTCGGGGGGGGAGATATTCTCACAGTGACTCCCACAGCATTCAGTTGGAGGCTTTTCTCACTTCTCCCTCTCCATGTTTTAAATATGGGTATTCCCACCCATTTTGATCCTTGTTCTCATTCTCTCTCTTGCATAGATCTCTAGGTTTGCTCTTCCTCAACTGTACTAGACCTCACCTGGTCTGTCCTCCCGGACTTGTGTGACGGCAATCATTTTCCAATCGTCCTTCCTTCTTTGTATTCATCACCACCTCGTAGCCCACACTGGCATTTTGACTTGAGAAAATTGGGACCTTTACTCGCATCTAACTGCTTTTAGTGACATTCTTTCTTCGTCCTCCATTGATGAGCTTTTACACCTCTTCTCGACCTCAGGCTTAACCACAGCTTCACATTCTACACCCCAAACCTCAGGCAGGAATTCTCAGAAGTTCGTGCCTTGGTGGTCTCCTTCTTGTGCTTAGGCAGTACCTTTGAAATGTGCTGCTTGGGGCAGGTACCGGTACAATAGAACCACAGACTCTTTGATTTTAAGGAGAAGCGAGTGGTCGCTCACCGTGTCATCCGTGACGCTAAAGGCACTTGCTGGTGGGATTATGTTTCTACCATCACCTCTGCTTCCTCTATGAGTGCAGTCTGGAAAAAAGTACGGAAACTGAGTGGTAAAAACTCTCCCAACCCGGTTCCTGTTCTTCGGGTTGCCAGTGTTGATATCGCAAACCCTGTTGATGTTGCCACTGAAGTTGGTAATCATCTTGTCCGTATCTCCGAGGAGCTTCATCTATGCCCCTCATTTCATTCCTCTAAGTCTGCCAGAGAGTTAGAGCCCTTAACCTTTTCTTCTATCAGAGAAGAATCTTATAATGTGCCTTTAACACTTCTGGAACTGGAGACAACACTTTCAGCTTGCCGATTATCAGCAGCTGGACCTGACGGCATTCATATTCATATGTTACAGCATTTACATCAGTCAGCCCTTGCAGTCCTCTTACAACTCTAATCATATTTAGTCACAAGAAGTTCTTCCCCAGCTGTGGAAATCTGCCATTGTTCTCCCTTTCCACAAACCGGGTACTACGGGACATGATGCCTCCCACTATCATCCCATTGTTCTTACCAGTGCAGTTTGCAAGGTGATAGAACATCAGGTAAATCGACGTTTGATGTGGTATTTAGAGACATACAACAGTCTCTCCAGTAGTCAATATGGCTTTCGTAAGGGCTGTTCTACCATCGACCCCTTTCTATGCTTGGATACATATGTCCATAATGCATTTGCCAATATCTACTCAGTTATCACTAATTTTTTTTTCAATTCAGTTCAATTCAATTCAAGTTTATTCTCTGTAATGGTTACAATGTGGGGTTTACAGGTTTTGGGTATTTTGTGGTTTACATGTTATAAGATACTAATTACAGAGGGGGCCACTAGGACACCTAGCATGGCTAGGCATTTCGAGCAGACTTAGATTAATTCTTAACATTAAATCCTTACAGATTATGGTATTAAGGCTTAGTGACTACATCATAATTT